ATATACAAAATAAATTTAAAAAATAAAAATAAAAAATCATAACACTTGAGCATTTTAAAATTTATTTAGTTTTCTACTAAAGTTCGAGTAGATTACTAGCAGACCGAGCTCATCCCATTATGGTTCAAGTTCGAGCGGAGAAAAGTTCGATCCATGGTTTTAGCTCATATATCAGCTCGCTTTGTTCTAATAAAGATGTTTGAGCTATTGAGAATCTTCGAGTTAAATTCTATATCTCTACATCTCATTGATAACCTTTATTTATCATTGATACACATCATCATCAATGTTGTTCATTGGTTTATTGCCAATCAACAATGCTATTTAGAGTTTTTGCGGTCTCTTACTCACTGTAATTTGTTCATTGGTTTATTGCCAATCAACAATGCTATTCAGAGTTTTTGCGGTCTCTTACTCACTGTAATTTACTTTTTGTTATGCTCACGATGATACTCCTCACATGCCAACAATAGATCCCTATAATGAAGCATTGATCTACACCTCTGCCATCTATGAAACCTAAATCTCATGTCTATTGGCAAACACACAACTACTTCTTAAAACACCTCCAATGAACAATCTATTATCATTGCATAAATAGAGGACCAAACACAAGTTTTCTCCCCATTACAGTATCTTAAGTGATCACAAGTTGTAATGATGATTATCCATGAAAACTAAAAATATAGTCATAATATCGATGTGAAATCCCAGCTAAGATCTAGAGTTTGGGCACGAAAGACTGAAAAATAACTAGGTGATATCTTATCTCATTAATCCCATGATAAATGATATTGAAGAAAAAAATTAGCTAAATGGAACCATTAAATAAATATGACATGCAATCAAAAAAAAATTACTCAAGGACAAAAGAAGAAAAAACATATCAAAACTATTTGAAATCAATATCACTCTCCAATACCTACAACAAAGCGATATACCCCAAATTATATGCTACAACATGTTTTCTTGGTCAAGAGAAAAGATGCACAATTAAACAAGGATAAGATCTAGAGTTTGGGCACGAAAGACTGAAAAATAATTAAGTGATATCTTATCTCATTAATCCCATGATAAATGATATTGAAGAAAAAAATTAGCTAAATGGAACCATTAAATAAATATGACATGCAATCAAAAAAAAATTACTCAAGGACAAAAGAAGAAAAAACATATCAAAACTATTTGAAATCAATATCACTCTCCAATACCTACAACAAAGCGATATACCCCAAATTATATGCTACAACATGTTTTCTTGGTCAAGAGAAAAGATGCACAATTAAACAAGGATATCATTAAGAAGTGAAGGCCCTTTAAGTTTCTAATAGAGCACAATAAAGATCTCAGAGTTAATGGATAAATTTTGGGAAAAAGGACTTTCCCAAGTATTCAAGGTATATTCTCAAAAGTTTGTGTAAGAAAAGCTAAAGGAAAATCATGCTAGGGTTTTAAAAACCCACAATAATTATCAAAATTTCTTTTCTTATTCAAAGTTTTCAAAGGAACAATAATAATGATACAAGGCAAAGGAGAGGACATATTGCTATTATTGCAAAAAACTCAAGCTCATCAAAGACGTGTTGGAAACTCTATGAAAAACCAATTAATTGAAAATCACTGAATCCACATTATCACAAGGTTTATCATATAAACCATGTTTCTATTGAAGAGAAATTTGATCAATTGGATATGAGTCTCTTTAACAAAGAATAGTTGGAACTATTACAAAAGATGTATGGCCAAATATGATAGAATTAAATCATTGGCACAAGTAAGTAATTATTTAAGTTCATTGGATATTAAAAAAAACAAGTATTATGAATTGTGGACACATTTGGATCAAATCACATGACATGGGATGGCACCATCTTTAATAAATATAGTCCTTAAAATGTAAATGTTATTGTTAGGATAAAAACTTGACATCTTTGAAGGAGGGCAAGCTCAAATTCTGTTACCACCTCCAGGGATTAAAATCATAACTCTGCACATTTGAATCTAAACTTAGATTGCAATTTGTTGTCTATTAGTAAGTTGATTACAGGGTTTCATTGTGTTACTAAGTTTATTACAAACTCTTGTAAAGTTTAAGACTAATTCAGGGAGGACAATTGACAACACTAAGATGAATTAGGGGGAATCTGCTTACTAACAGTCCTTGATCCTCATATAAAACAAACTTACATTGATGAGCGTTATGCATCCAAAAAACGATTCAATAGAAGTCCTTTTTCAATAACTCATTCGAATAATGATAATTTTATTAATTTGTGTCACTATCTGTCAATAAGATCATCCAAATTTCTTATGCCATAAGAAATTGTTTCCCTCATTATTCTATCATAAAAATCCTAAATAGTTCCAGACTGAAATAAACAATTTTTTCTAAATACTCAGTCCTTACCCTGCTCAATCATATGAAGAATCACAACCTTTTCAATGATTCATAATCATCTGTGGGGACCATTGAAAAGAATATATATATATATTATAATTCAATGGTTCATATCATTAGTTGATGATCACACAATAATTATTTGGATCATTTTTAATTAAAAAAAAGAATATGGTGAAATTTTCAAAAAAAATTTAACTATCATTCAAGCTAAGGTAAATTTGTACAAAATGGATATGAAATAGAATACTTTAAATCTTGGGATTCTCTTTTAAGGGAATCATCCACCAAAGCTCGTGTGCCAACACAACATAGAAAAATAGATATGCTTCCAGAATAATAAGACAACAAGTTGTTGGATCCACAATGTTTTCCTAAAATGTTCCAAAATTCATCTAACCATTCTCACTACAACATATCTCATAAATAGAATACCCATTCAAATCTTTAAACATCAAATCCTTCGTAAAGTCTTACAATCATATCCAAAGGCTATTCTTATCTCCACCATTTTTATGTGTTTGGATGCTCTATCACTAGGAGAATTACAGTAAACACAATCCCAAAGCCATTAAATGCACATTTATGGATGATCTCCAAATCAAATGGGTAAGTGATAGTCTCCTGTTACAAGAAAAAAATTTACTTTTGTGGAGACTAAGTTTTTCGAGAAAAAAACAATATGTCTCAAATATGATATTCATGAGGAGAATGAGGAATATGAATACTAGTTTTGAAATAGTGACAACACCACAGAGTTATACCTTTCCTAATATTTTGAGTTGTGTAAAACATGCTCAAATTGAACATGTCTCTATTCAATAGTTTACAAACATAAATAATCTTAAACCCTCTTCTTACTAATTCTCAAACTTCTAACTATGCTTCTTCTCCCAATCAGCAATCAAGATCAAACACAAACTATCAAAAGTAAGGTACAGGTTTAAACCAAACCTCCACAACAAATTGAAGAAAATGAGTTAAATTTTAGAACACCTAAAATATCACCAAAGAATAATAGTCCCAAGATTATTAATTATGATATTCCTGATTGTTATCTTGATAGATCTATAGTCGTGAAGACGAGTGCGAAATTGTGTGGTTGTTACCTAATATATGTATTGTTTCCAATGAAGTTTTAGCGTCATGTTTCAAATACCAAGTTGGATGAGATATACATTCCAAATATAGTCCAAGAAGCTTTGAAAGTACCAAGAATAGGAAATGTAATGTCAGAAGAAACTATTGCACTTAGAAAAAATGATACTAGGGAACTCTAGAATTTACTAGCAAGAAAGCATCATAAGAACATGAGTGTAGAAAAATTCAAAGCACGACATTCAATCAATCCTATGGAACCTATAATCAATACATTTGCAATTGAGTTGAAACTCAATATCATTTGTGTGCTTTCTCTATTGCTAACATAGACTGGTTTCACCAAATCGATGTAAGAAAAGGATTCTTCAATGGAAACCAAGATGAAGCAATATACATCAAGATTTCCTTTGGCCTTGGAACTCCGGTGCATCTTAATGAAATTCGCAAACTCAAGAATATTATATGGTTTCAAGCAATCCTCGAGAACATGGTTTGACTGGTCTATCAAAACCAAAAAAACACCTAGCTTGTTAGAAATTTGTTCAAAGAAAAAAATTAAATTAAATTAAAATTTTTAACAATCATGAAAATGGTATAGTCTTGATAAGGGATTATGAAAAAAAAATGAAAAATCTAAAATCTTAACTGGTTAAAGAATTCCAACTAATGATCTCCATGGGACAAGAGTTTAAAAATCTCCCAAAGGGGGTTTAGCCAGTTACAGAGCATAATTGACAATACCAAAATCCTATCTACATGCCTATCTACAATCCTAACTCCCCAAGGTCAATGAAACAAAGGTGTGAAACAGGATGAGTATGAAAATAATTCCTCCAAAGTCCAAGGCTTGCATTTGTGCAAACCGGTTGGACGTAATTTTTTTCCACAACTTTCAGTATAGTTGTAACCCAACTAAATTTATATGTTAATTCTAATAACAACTTAACAGGAAATAATTAAGTAATGCTCAATTAACAACTTAGTCAAGTATTTTTTTTTATATGATATCTACAAAAATCATTTGTCAATCACATTACTAGATCCATATGATCTGGCTACCAAACATCAAGTCAAGGCAAGCTAAATTATATGTATTGGCTACCAAATACTTACCAGATGAGCATAACAAGTTTTCGAAGATAAGTGATCTTCTCCAGAATATAAATAATACCTGACTCAATTAAAGCCCATTAGAGTTCAACATCAGAATCTGCGTTATCTATTTGAAATCAATGTATTGAGCAGTCATTACTTTGATGGCCCGATTTGGAACAATGGAGAATATTACTTGGCTGAGTTGGTCAACTAAAATCCAAGCCATGGATTTAAGAAAACATAAACACTGACCTACATCTATCTCGAAAGGCCACACAAGAAAACAATAAAACTGATAAATATGTAATTCAAAAAGCACACTGAAATCATCTAAGCATCAAAAAGTACAAAAAAATAAAAACCAGCTCATTAGCAAAATTATTACAAACAGAATGCACCGTATAGCTTATTCAAATATCATAAAAACGTTTTCAACAAATAGAGAGGAGTTAAACACAGCTGACCTAACAAGTAAACATCAGGTATCCATTAAAAAATGATGTCCTCATCTTTCTCTGCCCCAGCAACAAGCATATTATGTGCAGAATGGAAAGATATCCCCTTCTGCAGAGAAATCTCTTCCACACGCTTCTCTTCTGCAAACTGCTTAGCTGACTGCGTTTGCCTTTCTATCTCCCTCTTCTTATATCCCTGGATCTTCTTCAGCCTGAAGAAATCCTCTCTCTCTAGCTCGTCAAGTTCCCCCTTTATATAGCTGATTGTATTCTCAATTCGGGGCTTGACCACATTCTCAAGCGCATTGACCCTTCGGTTGGTAGTCTTGATGGCCTCATCAAGTGTGAGAAAGGAGGTCTGAAGAGAGGCAAGCTCAACAAGAACCTCAATTGCCTTGATGTGTGCGGCACGGCAGGCCTGGACCTGCTGTCCACCACGAGCAAGGCCAGTGAGGTCAGTAGAAGACTTGGAGTCAGCAGCAGAGTCAGTGAAGTGTTCAAACTTAGGGAGCTTCACACCTGCAACGTTCTCCTGCCGAGAACGAACCTTGACTGACGCAGAGCGAACGGACTCCAAGACTACGTGTTTAATGTTTTCACCGGCAGCGTACTTGGCCTCCGTGAGTGCGAAGGAGGAAGATCGCATGATGTCCCCCATGGACTCCTTTGTGGAGACTATTTTCTTAAGGATCTGGCGGAATTGAACCGTGAGGGCGTCGCTCTTCTTCTTCAGGAGAGCGTGGCCGCGGGTCGCACCGACCAGCCGCGCCTTCATCACGCCCAACATCGTCACCGTCGGCACCACGGTCAGCCTCTGCCCCTGGCCCGACATTTTTCCGTTATCTTCTGTAACCCTAGCGGCCCTTTAGGTTGCACTGAGAATTCCAACAAAATATGGACTCCTGCCCTTCTTCACGATATCTCCTTCTTCACACGTCGCAGCACCAGACACCAGACGATAACTTCTCCAGGGAGATCCCGTCGCGAGTTTGTGGCTCTGGTCGTCGAGGGTTTCAGGAATTTTTAGGCGGTGTTTGGCTGCACATTAGATTCTTTGAGGGTATTTGGCTCTCCTCGATTTTATTTAAGATTTTCAGTAAATATGGATTTAAAAAGTTCTTGATTCGAATTTACTAAATTTGGTATTTATGTTTTGATTTAAATGTACGGAGGAATTTAATACATGAAAAATTATCTTCCGTAGGATTAATCTTATAAATTTGGATTCATCAAAAATATAATCTGATCGGTGATAAGAAGAGATCACGAGGGCCATGAAATATGGGTGCATTTGAGACTGTGGGGCGGGGTGGTGCTGCACCACAGTTTTTATTTTTTTGACAAAATTGTGTTTTATTTGCATTCTAAAAACGCTGCAACTAAAAGCTGTGTTTTTCCATCAGATCTAGCTATCAGAAAGCTAAAGTCTTACTTTTTATATGGGTGCATTTGAGACTGTGGGGCGGGGTGGTGTTGCACCACAGTTTTTATTTTTTTGACAAAATTGCGTTTTATTTGCATTCTAAAAACGTTGCAACTAAAAGCTGTGTTTTTCCATCAGATCTGGCTATCAGAAAGCTAAAGTCTTACTTTTTCTTTTTTTGAAAAAAGAAATTTTAATAGTCACCGTAACTTTTTAAAATAATAATTTTTCTTCAACAGTTTCACAGTTACTTTTTCAAACAGCTGCAGCTGTCCCAAACAAACCAAATTCGGTTCACAATCACATTTATTGAATTCAAATTTATATCACTTAAGGAGAAGCACATAGAACTTGAAAAATATTTAATTTAACATATTTTAAAATTAATTTTCACTCTTTTTAGCATTTAACTGGATTTAAGTTAAATTCATAGTTTAATCATCTTAATAATATCTACCCAACATTGCCTTAGAGATGGAAGTCCGAGGAAAAAGGCAAAGAAAATTAAAAATAAATATATTAAGCATTAATTAGATTTATTAATTAATATTGATTAATTAAAAGACATTATTATTCTCAATTTAATATAATTTACTCAAACATAAACTTAATAACTTAATATTAATAAAATTTAATCAAATAAATAGACATATATTAATTAAGCTACTAATTTAATATTAATTAATTGGAAAATTATTATTTTAAGTTTATTTTTTTTTATTTTAAATTTAGTATTCTTGCATTCAAATTTATTCGTGAATCACACCTAAAGAGTAAAGCGTAGAGGAGAGTAGAAAGAGGGAGAGAGGAAGATATTTTATACCTTTAGCTACAATCTTGAATGAATAGTAAAAACATGTAACCCTCTTCATTAAATTAACATCTTTTTATAAAGGATTTAGTATAATAGTGGTATTACATTTTTTTTCTTTCAATTGGATGGGATTTATACTGCATTTTATGAGTGACAACTCATCATATGATCATTTTTTGCTCGGTCACCTCAGCTTGGTCAACTACCTCGATCACCTCAACTTAACTAGCTCAGTTTGGTTGGCTCAGATATCTTATTTCTGTCGAGAAGCCTTGATGGTCGAAAATGCTTTGGGGAATCATCCCTTCTATCAAGACAGTTATCTTGCAAAATAAACATCTGCATTAAGTCGGCTTTCTCTTAGTTGATGATACAAATGCTCTTCTGATGAGCTTTTGGGTGAGGTGCTTAATCGGTACCATTCGGTCATCCTCACGTCAGTTTTTGACTCGATTGGCTTGGCTTGGTTGGCTCGCTGGTTCTTTGATCTCCTTATATGGGATTTTCCTTCGTCATGCTTCCTTGATCTGGACCATTGGATCCCTATGAGACTAACTCTGAAACATTTTTATGTATATATTTAAGTTTCTTAGTTCTCTTACTCTTTAAAAACGAATAAGTACAAAATAATTAAATGCAAAAAGAACATATCTAATTCAATTATAATTAATAACTTAATGATTAAACTTTCTTGAATTTAGAGCATTTGATTTTTATAAATAGGGCGATGAGATGCTCTCCCATGCTTCATTCCGCAATTCTCTATGCTTGAGTAGATCACCTCTCGCGCTCTGGTTCGGTTAGATAATAGACAAACTTACTAAGTCACGGGCTAATATTCTCACAAAGAATTTGATTTGTTTCATTTTCTAAAAACAAAGGGATATGACTGCCTAGAGGGTAAGAGGAAGAAGAAAGTTGTCGTGAAGAGAATGAGGATTCAGCTTTTGTTGTTGGATCAAGTGGGGTCGTGTGATTCCATTATAGGCGTTACGTGGAAGAAGGTTCAATCGATTAGCTTGACTCATGATCTGACCATCTAACCATCTACTATGGTATAAAGATACTCCGACTTATCAGGTCACTCAAGTAGCTTCTGGTGTGCTTCCCTTGCTTTCACCAATGCTCCCCGTGAGCTTATTATGTCGCTTACAGTTTCTGAGCTAATTTGGTTCCTGGGTATGAGGGTTGTTTGCCTTGTATTTGTGGGGTCTGATATTTTAGGTTCTGGTTTGGAGTCATTTTAGTTAAGATAATTTATGATGCAGATGATTTGACTCCATGTTGACCTCACTTTTGGTTGAGGTTTAGTTTTTCCACTTTAGTAGTCTAAGGTCTAGCCATAGGTCTTTCCTATTGACTATTCCTAGAAAACTAGAAAAGTAACCCTCACCATTAGAAATTCCAAACTCCTCTTTACTCAACTTGAAGCTCAACATATTGGTCATAACCTCTAGCACTTAGTAGGTTGGTCATTATGAGGGAGCTCAAAGAGAGTTCCCATAGGACTATTTGACCTTAGGGTTGACCCTGGGTGTTGGTCTAGAGCTAAGGTATTCACCTCACTTACAATCAATCACAAATGCAAACCAAAAATTTTCTTGATTTTGATCCCTTGATCCTTTGGGAGACTCATGTAGATGGTCTCCTAAACCATCTGGCCCTAGGCTAGGGTTTAGCTAAGACTAGTACATAGAGGACCCAAATGGGGTTTCTATTGGTCCATGGCTCATTTATGATGGCTAGCTCCCCAATTTCATCAAAGATACCCAATTTGGTCTTTTGCCCCTAAACTCCCCCAAATTACCTGAGTACCCTCGAAACCATAAATTTGGCCAAAATTCCCCTTACCCTAAATACCCAAATTTATTCAAAAATCATTTCAAACCCTTTGAAAATACCCAAATTACCCAAAATCACCAAAAATTGACAAATTACCAAAATGCCCCTCCTTAGCCCAAAATTCTAAAAATTCCAAAAAATCCCAAAACCTTCCAAATATTCCCAATTTCATTTTTCTCAACTATCACATAACCGAATTTGACCAATTTGACCATCTTTGTCCAAAACCCCCAAATTGCCCTTAAAAGCTCCAATCTCCCCAAATCCACCTCAAATGTTCATCAAATTGGTCTCAATTTCCCCTAATTTCAATCTTAAACCTAAATTCACATTCTATGTGACCAATTTAAACCAAATCCAAGCTTAATTGGCCCATTCTTTGAGCCAAATTTTGATTTAGGTCAAAGCCCCAATTTTGGCCACAAGACCTAATCTCACCTTTGACCATATGACTTAATCTCACCAAATTGAACCCATAGCCTAGTCAATTTGCCACAATTTATGTTGAAAAATCTTCATAACATTTGAATTTATGTTGAAAATCTTCATAACATTCCTAAACATCAAACTTGACCTTAAATTGGCCTTTGTGAAGCCTCAAGTTCATTTAATTTCAACCTAAGTCAAAAGCCCCAAATTTTGCCCTAAATTGACTATGTTCACCAAATTGATTGCCTCCGCCTCAAAATTTCCACTCCATTCCTTAATAAAAAATCTTCATAACATCTCCCTTTATCATTTGGACTATTCAATTGATGTGGGCTATTCAATTGAGCCAAATTCTAAGACTAGCTCAACCTAAACCCAAACCTATCCCAACATGTCCAAAATGACTAAAAAATCCAAAATCCTTCAAATTGACCCTTCAATTGAACTCAAAATTGTTTCAATTCTTAACCAAAAATGTTTATTACAATCATCTACATCAAATGCATCAATCAATTAAGCCAATTAACATGGCCTGGTCCAAACCCAAGTTTTGGTCTTTTGCACTCAATTGGACCCAATGCATCAAAATTAACATATACATGTCAAATTAGTCAAGGCAAGGCCACCACAGCCAAGTCTTGGACCCCATTTATCAAGCCAAACCCCATGAAACCACCCAAATGCGCTATGGACCAAGGGATCCCCAAATTAAAGGATTTCATTCCATATTTGGATCTCATTCCATATTTTCTTAAGCCACGAATATTTTTGCCAAAATTAAACATCAACCCATTTAATTGCTGTGACATATTCTCCTGACTCATCTGACCTCCCACCTCTTCTAGCCTTGTCAGCAAGCCTAATCTCCGGAAAATGGACAAACCGAGAGCCACCCCCATGGAATCAAACTCAATTCAAACCTAGAGGCCATCTCATCCAAATTAAATGTCAGAGCCTCTCTGCCCTCCACTTAAGCAAGCATTTTCACCCCCCAATTGGCCATGACAGCCACCCAAAGGCCCATTTTATAAAAAGCTCATCTCCATGGCCATGGAGGGTGTGTTAAAAATTTTTCAAAGAGAGCCCTCAAAATTACTCCTAAAGCCTCTTTGGGACCTCCTCAGTGCAACCCAACCACCACATTACCCTGAATCCCCTTGTCGGAGTTCAATTTTTGAGCTCAAAACCTTGCCGGAGACAGAACAGGGCTCTTCACACCTCTACACTCCATCAAACTTCAATTAAACTCACCCACACCTTCACCTCAGTGAAAGAAGAATAAGCCCCATCAAATTCCCCTTTCACAGAGCCCCTAGCATAGCTCTAGACAAACTCCAGAAAACAAGCTTGGTTGAATTCATACCTAGGCCTTTCACCACAGCGAGAGGCTTAATCCATAGCCTCCTTAGACCTCCATGAACGTGTCGAGCACCTCTGATCGAAGCTTCCCTT